CGAGTAGCTCGCTGCCCTCAGCCACCCGTGCCTGCGTGCTTTGGAGACAGCCTGGTCTGGGCAGCTCGGCGCTGCTCCGGGTTGTCTCCTGGTGTCTGGGTCTTCCCGCTTGCGTCACACCTGGCCCGAGCAGGGCTGCACCCTACGCACGGAAAGGCGGCAAGCAAGGCTCAGCCCAGGTGGGAGGGACTGGGCTCCCGTTAAATCCAAGGCTCCCAGAGGACGGAGTCCTTGCTCAGACTCACCCTTGTGCTGATTTTACGAGCTCAAGGTCCTGTTGCAGCAAGAGTGGTGTGCAGGAGAGGGGACACGCAGCTGCAGCTCAGGTACCCGCTGAGTGCTGATTTCAAGGCCACCTCTGCCTTTTCCGTGTCTCTTTCAAGCCCTTTTTTCCCTCAGTCCTCCATGTTCATGTTATTTGCAGTTTGTATCAGCTCATCTCTTCCATCACTTCTCTTTCTTCTGCTGCCGCTTTGCATTTAGCTGGTGATTATTCGTGTGCCTTGGGAGAAATCTCCTGCAGAGATCTCCAGTAAGCCAAGACATGGTTGTTCCTGCCTGAACGCTGCTGCTGGCTGGCAGAGAGACCGGGGGTGTTTATCCTGGGTGGGGAAGGCTGCTGGATGTTCTGGGAGAAATGGCATGGGGTTATGCTTGTTGGCGTTGGACTTTTCTCAGTAGTCTGTGGGGTTTATTTTATTAGCAATTACCTTTCTTATTCACCCAGAGTTTGAAGCCTATTTAAGATTTCCCGTGACGTTTGGTGACTGTGCATCCGTACAGGTGGTGTGAGATGCTTCACCCGCTCTGCCTGGAGCGAATTCAGCCTGTGGACAGGAGGCTGTGATGTGTGGCTGTGAGCGTGCACCCTGCTTTGCAGTGGGAGGCTGCGGTGTGGTGAAGTGTTGAGAGTTCAAGGCAACAAAAACGCCACGTGGTAGCAAGAAGTGTGACTAGCTGGAGGCAGTGGTTTGTGTAGGGCTCGGGAGGAAAATCAGCTGGCTGTGCGTGAGTCAAGGTTGTTTGGTATCACTGTGCTTTCTTAAGCCACTGACAGCAAGGTCAAAGCATCGTGACTCGGGTCAGCATCAAGAGATGCTGTGAAACCAAAACCAAGGTCCTGAGGATCCGTCCTCGCGTAAGAGGAGAGCAGAGCATCAGGATGATGGCGTGGAAGTTGTGCAACCAGGGCTCCGCAGAGGAGCACTGCAGATACGCTGCCTGCGTAGGCACACGTATTGGCAGGAAGATGGAGCTCTGAGGAGGGGAGGGAGAGGAGCTAAGAGAAGAGCATGGAGCATGGTCTGCTGCTTCACAAGGTTTCAAGCCCTGGGATGCAGTGCTGTACGCTCAAGGGAACACGCACGGGGGAGTGCAGATGTACAGCGTCCTTCTGAGATGCTTAAAGGTCTGCAGAGCCCTCTGCACGACAGCTCCCATCCTGTCCCTTCCCTCGGCACCTCCGAAATGCCGAGACACATCTTCCCTCGTGCTGCAGCTCCCGTCCCAATAACGCTGCCTAACGCAGTTCCGCAAGGGGACAGAGGTGAGACATGCCCTTGGTCTCAGAAGGGAAAAATCCAGGCTGCTGCTCCAAGGAGCTTTTTGGTGTGTCTAGAAAGTCTCACATGTCTGTAATTCATCTCAAACATTCCTAGGATTAGCTAATTTAGTCTGTTTTTGGACAGACACCCTCTTCTAAAGGTGGTCTCCTTGCTGCCCCCTCCCTGAGCTTCCCGTGCCCACACTGCTCACCCTGCAAAGAGCGGCAGGGAAAGCCCTCCCGGCTGCCCTGGGACCTCTCCTGGGAAGGGAGGATGAAGATCTGCTGCTCATCTCATACCCAGAAAAGCTCTTGCCAAAGGGCAAAGAGCCGCCCTGGGAGAGGAAAAGGGAGCATGGCATTGGGAGGGGGAGATATTTGAGGAGCAGTTTCGACATTGCTAATAACCCTCCTCATCCAAAACCCTGGAGACCCTTTCAGAAGTCTGAAATGTTGCTAAACAAGCCATGCATGTGCGTGTTCACAGGGGGATCGCTGGGGGAGGATGGCTGCTGCGGGTTGCGTTGGAGCAAAAAGCCCTGCGTTGGCAATGGCCACACCGCTCCTGCCCCGCCGCGGGGCTCCAGGGGCTGACCAAGCACCGAGAGCCAGCGGTGCTCCTCGGGATTGCAGAAAGGCTGCTTTTTGCCACTGAATTTTGTAATTATTCTTGGTTGAGCAAGGAGGGAGGCAGCTTTGTCTGGCAGTCACCCTTCTCCCCCCGGACACTGGGAGGGCTGCCCCTCCTCAGGCACCCACTGCCTCGTGCTCCACGGCCAGACCCCCCGGTAGCTGGAGGTATATTAATATTTGCTATGTGATACCGCTGCTCGCTCTGCTCTGCAGGCAAAACACAGCATAACCATGGCAACTTTTTTCCTCAACCTCATCAGCACGCCCTGCTAATCTAGGCAACTCACCCCGCAGCCCTCACGGTGATTAAGCTGGGTGTAATGAGCTCTGTAAATCCTGGGTGTCCCAGCAGTTCCTTCTGCTCTTGCTAGCGAGCGGAATTGCAACAGACTTGTCATCGGGAGGCTCCCAGGGCTCACGTTGCAAGGAAAAACAGTCCAGACTTGGCAGCTGGCTCTGCTGTTTTGGGGTCTCTGCGCAGACAGGGAACAAGCCTGTGTCCCGGCTCGTGTGTCTGAGCTCCAAACAACCGCGCTGGAACACCCCGGGCTCTGCGTGCGCAGCTGCCAGGCAAAGCCGAGAGGCAGCGGTTTTGGCAGTGCCTGCTCTGCCGAAGCCTGGGGAGAGGCAGCACGGCCGTGGGGTGCCCGGCGGCTTTGGGAAGGGCGTGCAGGCAGATATCTGCAGCCGGGGCGTGTCTGGCACAGCCCTGGCCCGAGGGCACCCTGCAGCCCTCCAAACCCAGCACCCTACCCCCTGCCTCGGCTCTCTGCAGCCCTGCGTGGGTGCTCCAGCTCCGGTCCCAGCCCCGACACCCCAAGGCTCGTTTTCATGCCAGGGGGCTGCCTGCCAAGCTGGGCTGGAGGTGGAGAACTGGGGTTACTGGGCTGAACTGCTACTCCTGCCCCGCTGAGACGAGTCTCCTGATGCAACAGGCAGCTGCATCACAGAAAGCTTTTATGTGTCCGTCTGCATCCAAAATCTGTGACTTGTCCCCTTCATCTTAGCGAGAATTCTGTTCCACAGTCTGTTCCCAGAAGCAGAAACCCTGTCATTTCCAGTCTAGGTGTGTTTATGGCCAGCTTATTTCCATTTCTTCTTGTGCTAGCCTAGTCTTAGCTTAAACAACAGTGCTTCTTCCCCCAGTGTTTCGGTGAATCCTCCCAGCCTCGGTCAAGCCAGCCAGCCCAGCCCTGTGAGGCACGTCTGCAGCGCCCGGGCTACCCC